AAAATAAAAATTATAAAAGTGACACTGATCTCCCAAAAAAACAAAACAAAACCCAAAGCAAAAAACCCCACACCAAAAGAGAACCACCTGAGGAAATCTTTCCCTCCTCCGGCAGCCTCTGGGGCTCGCCATATCCCTGGGGCTGTCTCCTTCCCCGCCCAGACTGGACCGCCCTCCGCCTTTCTCAGCTCCTCCTCCTCCTCCACTCAGAGAACAATCCTCCAACCTCCTCCCCTCCCCCTGGTAAGCGTCTCCATGCTGCTGGTGGTGGTGGCTCCCCGCCCCCGCGTCATCCGGACTGGAGACGGCCCCGCCTCCTTCCACGTCCCGCCTCCCACCTCCCGAGTTGTCCCACGAGGAAGAAGAATCCTCATGACGTCTCTTCACCGAGCGATCTTCCTCCAGTTTGAGAATCCACAACAGCGCGCAGAGGCGGACCATAGCCCGCTCGTGTCGGGTCTGGAGATACATGTCTAGCGGGTTCACTTCCCAGGGGCAGAGAGAGGTGCCGGAGAGGGGGCCGCCTGCCCACAAGTCGATGTGATCCTCGCTGCTGTCTGCCGCGGAGAACGGGTCGTCGTTGTTGTATTCCGAGAGGTTTTCTTGCTCTCCTGTGGACGCGGAACGGTCGTACTCGGCACTGGCGAATGAATTCTCGCAGCCGTAGGAGGAGTCATAGTTCAGCCCCGAGGTAGAGTTTGTGGTGGTGGCGCGACTCACTTCAGGAGGGCTCACCTCGCACCACTGTTGCTGTTGCTGCTGCTGCTGTTGCTGTTGATGCTGTTGGAGAATTTGTTTCGTGTGTCTCTGTTTTCTAGTCAGGCGAAATCTAAGCCGAAAGCGTTCCTTTCTCTTGGCGGGTTTCGGCGGGGTGGAGATCGACGATTTATCCTGAGCGTAGTGGCTGTGGGAGGAGTTAGGGGTGGAGCTAGGGGCGGAGTGAGGGGTGGAGCTAGGGGTGGAGTCTGGCTGGTGGGCGCTATCGGGGCTGGCGGTGTGTCTGACCTGGGCTTTCTTCCTCCGAGAGAAGAAGGCGTGCGGCGAGAAGGTCCATGGCCGGAGCACCATGACACTTCCGGAAGCGCTGCTGGCGGATCCACAGGCACCCTCCGAGGCCACGTTGATGGGAAGTGACGTCACGAGGGGGTGAGGCCGAAATATTCCCAACTAGACAGACAGTGAGGTTTCTGGCTTCTCGAGTGTCAGTCACACCCCGTCGGATGTCAACAGATGTAAGTAATAAGCCTTGGAGGTTTTCCCCCGACACCCTTTGCAGTATTCAAAAACGGCATGTTGACTCCATGTCAAGAAAAGCAAGGTATGCACGGTCACCAAAAAACTCACACAGTTTTACACACTGGAAATTTCCAAAGTGTCAGTTGCGTCCGAAAGAAACAAAAACATAAAACAAATGTACGAAATATTCAGAGATTTAGAAAGCCATCGTACATTATTGTAACACCAGTTCTAGAATTCAGCTTATTTCGTCACGTTCTCTAGAAATAGAACACAGGTTGTCACAATCTCGTCAATCTTTCATCTCACAGAAATGTCAAATCCAACGGTTCGACTCACTAACTGTTCTGAAAAGGGCGCAGAAGTTCTAAAACTTGGACAACTTAAAATCACAACAATATAGCAGTGAAATAACCGAATACCAAAACTTTTCACGAACCCCAAGACAGTAAAAAACAAATGAGCCGATATCGTATCATCGCAGACTTCCGACAAAGAGAAAAAGAACGAAAGGGAAAACATTTAAGTCACTGGCTGCTTATGTCTAGAATTCAAACAAAACTAACTCGATTTCCAAAAAAACAACGACAAATTTCATACCAAACCAAAAGGGAAGGTACAATAACCCAAAGCCTCTCTCCTTGCATCTCCTTCGTCGAAGTCAAACAAGTCACTTATAAACATCCGAGTAATAAACACAGAAACGACTAACAGCATCGGGAATGAAACGCCCCAAGTACGTACTAACTAGGTACTGCAGAAATCAAGACTCAAAGAGACAAAACATAATTTCTTAAGCTGAATACAATGTCTCGTTCTTTTTTAAAACAACCTTTCCACCCAACGCTAAATACAAACGCATAACGTATTTATGCCAAACGAATGTAGAGTGACACAGACAATCCGGTATGGTACGTTTAAAGAACATACTTACTAGATAATGCAGAAATCAAGACTCAAAGCAAAGGAACAACTGGATACAATGTCTCGTTATTATAACATCAATCTTACTACCCAACACAAAATACTAACGCGTTACAAGGTACTTTCCTACGAAAAATGAACTCGCGTAAGTCTCCCAGCAGGGACTACCGTGCTACTCTATATACCCCCCTCCCCCC